GAGGACAGTTATAAATATATTTCCCTCAAGGTTTTCAAAATCTATAGATCAAATCGCGAGGGCAATTATTTCAACAATCGGAGGATAAAAATTCACAAGTTTTCTAGAAAATTCGCGTTCCATCGAGCAAAAGTTTGCAACGTCAAAGCACTGATACGACGTTCTTTTTCAGTCCGACAGCACTGTCCTTGACCCTTCGTGAAGTGCGTTACGTGTCTCGCGGTTACAGATCTACGGATATCCCCGGCCAAGGATTCGTCATGAGATTTGGCAGATCGCCCCCCCCCTCCCCCTATGAGCGTGGGATGTGCCAGAACAGCGGATAAGGTGCGTCTTGAGATCTATCTGAGCCTTTGTTCTGTATCGGAAAAGGAAGAAATAATTGGACGTATTTCTGCCAAACGGAACTGTGTACATTAAGACATGAGCCCTGAGACCCATAAGAATGTTTGCATAACAGGGCTCACGTCATAATGCACATAGTTCTGTTTGATAGAAATACGTCCAATTCTGACTCATCCGAGGAAATAAGATTCAATTTGATGTTTCGTGACAAGTTTACAACTGTTTCTTGGGTGTCCGAATATGTGTGAAATAGCCTAATTTAATCCCACATTTGGTCGTATCTATCCCAAAAGGAAGAATTTTTCAATGTATGAATTCAATAGGAAGGATGTACACGTGAGTTGCAAGCTTTATAGTTCCCGTTGACTTTTTTCATTTGTACATAGTTCCCTTCAGCATAAACACGTCCATTTTAAAATTCAATCGAATTCATTTCAAAAGTTTGTTTCTATCATTGACAGTTAGTGAATTCGGCATTTTGTAAAATTCCCTGGGAAATTATGAAAATTTGAAAAACTATGTATTTAAAGAATACTAATTAATTCCCCCTAACATTTTAACAATGTCCCCTATTTTTAGAAATTCAAGTACGCCATTTCTTTTAAATTAATCTTTCATGATTTCACTCACAGTTTTTGCGGTTGATTCTTGTTTACTATCGTTCTTCATTTCTGAGGAAATTTTCAGCGTAAGGTGATGACAGTCAATTGTCTGTGAAGAAAGTACTTAAATAATACCTTAAAACACATAAAATTTCACAAAATATCATTGATACAGATTTAGCGTCGTTCTTCGTTTTTGAAATGCAAAAATATCATTTCTTTGACGATAAGAGAGAAGAAAAAACCATTAAAGAAACTCGACTTTTTACCTCGAGAAAAATGCCTTAAAAATCTTCATCACATTGCCTTCATGCTGAAAAATCTAAAATTCTCGAGTCAAAGGGCGTTCGTCTTTACAGAATCGGCTACAAACAGGGAAATATTATCCATTGACTCGGAAGATCAATTTGATCGAAACTGCAAATGAACCTTCAAACGAGTGAGGAAACCCGAGACTTGGAAAATCCAGACTTAATGGAATGAGGGAGTACTGCCGTCCTAAAAAAAACGCCGTATGAGCCTTCAAACATTGCCAAATTTCATTCGATTATACACACATTTCCTGATAAACTTTAAGAAAAAAAAATCTGCAGATTTTTCAGATAATTTTGTTTAAAAGTTTTACGCATGGTTTCTGAAAATTCGAAAGAAGAATATTCGTGATTTTCTTGAAAAAAAAAATAGTAATTGAGGAGTTAGGTGCAAAAGGGGCGTCATTGACAAAATCGCGTTTTGAGTTATTCGTGTTCAAAGTTTGTTGTTGTACAAATGGAATGTATGTTTAAAGATGTGGAAATAATGTGGTAAGTTTAAATATAGATCATTTTATCAGGTTTAAGTTTGTAGAATTAGAAGCTCTGAATAATCGCGGGTTCTTTTTAAAATATGAGAAATACGAAAGTTCCAATGACGCCCCTTTTTAATTACTGTATCTTACTTTAAAATTACTGTATCTCAGTGAATGTTTGACATATTAATATGAAAATTGGTACACCTACATTTTAGGATATGAGGATTCAGAAAAACCGGTCTCTGCAAAAGGGGCGTCATGGACCTAACGCCCCTTTTGCACCTAACTCCTCAATTCTGGGGAGGAAATTTGGGAGTATTTGAATGCTCATACGGCGTTGTTTCTTAGGACGGCAGAGTAGGACGTGGAGCGAGTTTGAGGCAAAAAACACGGTAGTATTACGAAACTGCACCGCAGCGCAGCGCGATGCCGAGCGCATGCACATGCACCCAGTAGAGTCGTCAATTAAACTGCACTGAGCGGCTACCGACTCGTTAACAAACCATTAACGAGTTATGCAAATAGCCACACGTCAATTTTCTCCAATTTGCGCGCGCTTCTGTGGTTTAGTAATTGGTATTTTCGCTGCGCCGTAAACCTCTCAGCTTGATTCCTTCCTACGCATGGCTAGGCCAGCCTCGACTGTCACCCATCCGGCAATGAGTGAGCATTTTCGTGGAAAAACACAAAAAGAAGCCAATCCTTGTTCTTGTGCGTTATCTTGCGACGTGAAAAACGTCGCTGTGGCGCGTGGCTCTCCTGTCACTGTGCTTGCGTTTCGAAAATGTGAATTTACGTTATCGCGGACGAGCAAACTTAGTTCGGGCATTCCCAAAGTTGACAGACACCCTGAAACGAGTGACAAGCTTTCATAGGCTCTTTGATAGCCAACTTATTAAAGGTAGGTTTCTGCTAAAAAGTGTGAAAAGTTTGAAGAAATCGTCACAACCTAAGTAATGCCACTATTTTTCTTGCGTTTCTTCAAGAAAAATCGCATTCGAGCTCCCAATTTCACCTTGTCGGAGGGTCAAGGGCACTGAGAGCATTCTGTTGTATATTTTTCTATGCCTAAAACCTTATGCGTAAAACTCTCCTTTATAGTTGTTAGCTGATTTACAATTCGTGGAATTGTGATTAGCTTCCCGGACCTCTAAATATCCTCACAAATGCGGTGTATCAGAATTTAAATGTTTCATGATGAAGTAGTATCATTATGCAAGTGTGCAAAAATGAGAGAATACTACAATTAGCATGAAATGAATGCGCACCTCAATTTTTAGCTAAATAGAAGCAAGACAGGGAGAGAGAGAGAGGGATGGAGGGAAAAACAAAAAACAAGCCAAGACATTGTAACTAATTAATTTTCTTATGGCAGGAGACTTAAACGCGCGATTAGGAAAGTATTTGATGTGCCGTATAATGTCATTATTGGTCGTCAATAATTATAATTATCTAAAAAATCTCCCAAAACAGCAAATAGTTTATGCATCCCACCAAAAAAGTTTAATTTTAATGGGGAATAATAGTGTAAATATTAATGCTGCACATATATTTAGTATTTTTAAAGAAAAGAAAAAGTTGCACAGTTTTGAAAACACTGTAATCACGCTGGTTTCTTTTTGCTAAATGCGATCCATGGGAGAATCCTGCAATGAAATCAGTATTGATGGGGATTTTTGTTACACAGCAAATGCAACTGAACTCCGATTTTGATTTGACGTGGTTATGCTGTTCTTAATAGGCCTCCTGTGCTGTGCCGTGGGCGTCATGCTTCTCGGTGCCCGCATGCGGTGTGCACCATGCTGTTTGATCTTGATCCCGAGTTGTTAATTTTATCTTATGAAATTATTTACACCGCTATTTCCGTGCTTGCCAACAATTAGGGAAGTAATCGAGGGGATGCGTCCTCACATCTCTGGAAGCTTCTCTATCTCAACCAACGGAAACGACCTTGACCAAAACAAAGAGTTGGCAAACCGTTGCCAGTTCATTTGAAAACTACGATTATCCGCATCCAATAAATTTAAGAAGTGAAGTTGTTAATGAACGCATACACAAGTGTATGTGCAATGGACTGTATTCGATAGTGGTTCGATGTATCGTTTGGTTCAAAAAAATAAAACGTAACCTCAAACCAAAATTTAAGGATTTAAGATGGAAAAGCTGAAAATGAGAGGAATCCTATCAACCTCTCGTTTCATTGGCATTTGGTGCTCATAAGAATAAAAACATCGATCCCAGAAGACCCGTTCCCTCAGATTTCTAAATTGACTTTTGAGGCTATGTTTAAATGTTGAATGAATCGATATCGATACAATTTCACCTGTTTGATGTATCAAATACGATACAGATGCAAGTCGAACTGTTTACTATAAGATCATCGAGTTAGAGTCCACGTCAAATAAGTTTGAGTAAGCTCCACCATCTCGTTGACGGCCGGAGGATACCGCGCAAGAAAGGAACAATCCGATAATGTGAAAGGAAAACTCCGGTTTGCAATTTTGTAAATTTTTGATACTTTTAACTTTCATATTTCGGGGTATGATTGTGGTAAAAAAATTTTCTAGGCCTCTCTAAAATGCTTTAGGAAAATTTTATAACAATAATCTTTCAGAAATGTAAAATAAGAGCAGACATTTTAAAACAACAGAATTGAGATTCATTCTATCGCAATTTAGACGTCAAGCGTTAAATTTCGTCGTATCACTATTGGTTGTATGTTGCAAAACCATTTCTATGTGTATGAAGCCATCACAATGAAGTGAGTAAAATATTTGAAGCCACAACATGATCTGACGTAAAATTTAAAGTCATGCCGAAAATGTGATAATTCGTACCTTAGTCTTGATTAAAATCACGTGAATACTGCGATATGCAGTGTAACAAGTCTCCAGCACAACAACTTTACCTGGCGATAAAATCATTTTTTATTAAAGTCTCCATCCTTCGATAATCTGCCTCAAAAAAATTGATAGTTGGACTGATCTGTCATACTGATTAACAGATGACATTATTTCCTCAGTGTTATAACCATCCACTTTCCTCTTGTCTTCAAACATCTTTATATTAAGTCAAATACCGATGCAAGATTCTCGCGCTAATGAATATATACACAATCTGGCATCGAGGAGACTACGATTTTATAGCTGTGGTTTTTAATTGTGCTTATCGCTAGGACATCCGTAATAGCGATGATCCTCATAACTAACAAAGCATTGTATTGTTTTGCAGTTGAACTAATTTGGTTGTACATTTGTTTGCAGGGCGCCTCGCTGTTATAGTCATTGGGCTTTTCACATTAGCCATAGGAATCATATTATCGTCAATACCTTGGCTGGATTACCTGATACTCAAGGTAAAGTGCATCAAAGTTCAAGATTCCTGGGAGACATTTGGTGATTTGGCCAGTCTATGACTCGGCTTTGCGGTTGAAATACGTTCGTCCTGAATATGCAGCTTATTATCTAAAATCCACTCAAAAGAATCTTGAAAACATTTAAACTGTGAAAAAAAAATTGCTGACTTAGGTTTGAAAATGAGAAGCATATCGAGATGCAAAATCTTTTGCCTCAGTTTGAAAATGCTTGAACTTTTGACATGAACCCTGAGCGTTTTGAGAAGTTTATATTATGTAAGATATACTTTGGAGGTACCTTTGGAGGTCCGTATGGGGGACTGTAATGTCACAGGTTTAGCAATCCTGCGGACCCCAGCTGGTAGCCCCTGCCTCAAAGGGGGTGGGTAGACAGGGCTCTTAGCTGTGGTGGAAGCAACCTGTCCAGGAGAGGTAACTCCGAAATCAAACCCCCTGGTCCTCCAGGTTGGGGGTTGGGGCATCGGGCTGACTCCCCGATCCTCGGAAAAAATGTGCAATGTCAAAAAACCCAATAACATATGCCTCGGAGGTACCTACAAATAGGTACCTGCCAATATTCTATACAAGTAGTTGTATTAAATAAAATTTCTGGCACAAGGAAAATTGCTGTTGTAAAATGCACGGTTTCTAAGATTATAAGAGAAAATTTCTGCATTGAAAAATTGTTTTCGGACAAAACATGAAGGCGAAACCAACCAAAAAAAAGAAACAAAAAACATCCCAATAATTTTAAATGAGAAAATTTGGTTAGCTCAATCCTTTCCCCTTTATTTATTTCACCTCCTTTCTTTTTATCCGCTGGTCACAATGAATTTGTAGGTATTATGCATCCAACGCATTCAGATTGGTGTTTGATCATTTTTATGGAAGTCTCTTAGTAAAAAATGCATCAATATCTATCCAAAAAAAATTGCTCTTAAGACAATGCACTTATGACATCTGAAGATTGCATAGTTGCAAAGAGTTCTTACAACAGTTCACAATGAAGATATTATTCTTATTCCGATGTTTATGTATTGTATTTAATGTATCACTTTTGTTTCAGAATTTGAGGTTGTGGAACGGTTCACTTAGTTACCATTACTGGCAGAAACCCGGTGTACTCAGGCTTACCAAAGTATTCATTTTTAATGTAACTAACCCGGATGAATTTTTAAATCATGGTGAAAAACCTAAGCTTAACGAAGTTGGACCTTTTGTTTACCGGTAAGGATATACTATTGTTTTAATCGTCTGACTTTCTCAGACGCCTGGTATTTATCACAATCCTTCACATACTCACATATCCTTTGTTTTAGCTAAAATACATCTGAATTTAATCGTGTTTATGCGATTAATACACTAAAGAATACTGAATTTATAACCGAAAAGCTACCTAATGCAGGTATTGTAATTAGCCGAGAGTTTTGTTTCATTCAGAAACTTTATAATGTGAGGAGTCAATTAAAAAAAAGTGCGAAAATGTCGGGTAAAAAATCATCGTTATGGAAGATCTGTTTCAGTTGTCTAAATTCTGCTGACGGCATTTGACGAGCCAAACTTGTGCGTCGCGTGCCCATCCATGATGAGGAGGTTCTTGTGAGAATTCCCGGTTGTTAATGACTTTTTTTTTCGGCCTGCGAATTCTGCTTATCTCCTTAACCCGCTTAAAACAAACAAACATTCTCAGGCATTTGAAATAGTATTTTTTCAAGACTAAATATAGATGAAAGGTCGTTGCTTTCGTGAAAATTCAATGGTATACACTATTCAAAACGGTGACTTCGATTGGTGAATATAGCTAGGAGGAAACTAATGTTATTCCGAAGAAAAACAATTCCGAGGGTAGTCAGAGAATGGGAAGATTAATGAGGTGAACTGCGGTTGAATTATCGTTTCACAGAGTGGCAACATCACTGGCAAACTACAACAGCGTTTTCTCGAATTCCTCATTTTCCGTCCTCAAAATTTGAATCGCTACCACTTGGTCAATTTTTGGAGTGTTTGGGTGTTCTTTCCGTCAAATAATGCGAAATTAACGATTTAAGCTCTGCCGTGCTAAGGAAGAACGCCGTATGAGCCTTTATACGTTGTCAAATTTCTATTAACAAAACACGAACTTCCGAGAAATTTTAAAATTAATTTTCCTTCAGTTTTCAGAGAATTTTTTTCATAATTTGATTTAAAGGGTCTGAAAATTTCAAGGAAAAATATATTCATTACTTTCTCAAAAAGTAAATATTTTACGAAAGGATGTTTGGCAACATTCGAATGCTCATACGATGTATTTCCTTAGCACAGCAGAGGTATAATATAAATACCTCGTCCCCTCCCCCACCTTAAGGCGCATTTACTCCAACTTCGTTTCAAATATTGGAACATGAAACATACTCCATCACATGCGCAGCTGAGCCATTCATGACTTTATGAAACGAATAGAATGCGACAGGACATACATCTCGATTATTTTTGATGTACGGGAAGAGAAATTGGTGGATTTAATTGTAATACGTCGCAGGTCAAAATTGTCAAAATGGTGCCTCGGGTTAAGAAGGTCAGTCGGTTAAGTCCCGAGCCATCGACACCGTATCTCATAAAGTGAGCGAGATGCGTCCGAACCGATCGTCCATTAGGTTACGTAGCCGGCGGAGGTGCCACAGATAACGGTGAAAACCACATTTATTCATTTCTACACTGGTAATAAGACAATTACTTTTAACTACCTGGCAACATTGTTGCCGGAGCACGATCCCCAGTTGCTTGCGAATAACTTGCAATGGCCCAATGAAAGATATTAATTATTTTGGCTGGCCACATGCCAGCATCCTTATCACTCGAACACATGTTGTCAAATGATGACTTCCATCTTGGCGAAAAGACTCCACATGCTTAAGATATCCTATGGTAAAGAGTCAACTCTCTTTTTGAATATTTTGAGCTATCACCACGCTAAGCGTAGCTAACGCTCTTTCTGCCGATTGTTAATCCAGAGAACAGACATTTGGTTGAATTTTAATTATAAAATAACTAGAACAATGAATTTAATGATCAAATAAATTATGTGCAGAGGAGTAAACACCAATTTACATATTGTTTTACTTACTTGCGATTGACTTACGAAAGTTCCTGAACCACGGAAAAAAATAAGATCTTTTGTCCACTAGGGTTAGAGAAAATTTGGGCCCGGGCTGGTCTCTTAGACTTTTCCTCTTTTATACAACGTATTCCATTCTTTAACTTCAAATGAAACAAACGAAATTTTTTCTAATTTTATTTTTATTTTTTATTTTTCCATGCTATCCGACAACTGCGGAATGTCCAAGTGGTGAGTTGTTAAGAAATAAACTGTGAAATCTCTGTTAATTCCTCGTTGAAGAGACTTTAATGAATGATCGATCTAGGAGCAGGAAAGTTGCTGACACACCGTGGTTAGATTTTTGACACGTCTCAATTTTCCTCACCTCGTTGGAGTTAACATATGCAGCGGTAAAAAATTAATTCTGCAACGTTAGCATGAGGATTTCTGGAACCGGTTCTTTATACCAGTCTGTAGGACTATTTTTTCATAGATTTCCTGTGGGAGTCTCGATTTGACAGTGCTTGACTGCAAATCAGTCAAATTTCTGCGGCATTTCGTATTCTGTCGTCTGATTGAACACTGCGGTCAAAATCTAATTTCTTTTCTCCTCTCTTTCTGATGGAAGAAATTACATGCATTATCGAATATATTCTTATTTGTAAAATTAATTAATCGACTGGCAACATAAATTTTCGCTATACTGGTAAATTTTGATGTACATATTAGATACTCGGACATATTTTACTCTTCCCCCAAATTGAATCTGGTAATATTTCGTCTTTTTTACTAATAATGTTGGACCTCTCCCTCTCCCTCCTATGTACTTCCATTTTCCTTCCTTTTTTCGTTTTTTTCATTCCTCCTTTCTCTTTTCTCCTTCTTTTCTCCTCCCTATTTCACCCCAGTTCCCCCTTTCCTTCCTATTCTTCCCTTGGATAAAATCGGATCCTATCAATAGATATCATTTACAAAACCTCCGAGTTTAAAAAATTTAGTCGACTGGATGGCGTGCAAGCCCGGGCGCGGCGGCGAGAGAACATGAGATCGTTTGCAGGTCAACTGTTGGAGCGATGAAAGTGCAAGTTCTTACGCTGGACGCCGCGCCGCGCCGCGGGACCGGCGGCACGCCACGCCACAAGCCGTTAGTCACACTCACCTACTGACGAGGTGTTCCTTATGCGCCCCTTCTCCGGGCCGGGGCGGGCAATGCGCGGCATTTCCTGTTTTGTGGCGACGGCGACCCTGCCCGGATGACCGGGTTTCCGAACCGGAATGAGCATGAATGAAGAGTGACCTGGACACGAGCACGAGCAGCTGTTCGCTTCTGTCCGAGAGCAAGTTACATCAACGAGCAGGAGCGCTTGAATGCTTGAATCATCTTAGATAATACCGAGACCTCCGACCTCCTCCATGCTCCAGGGGGACACCGCACCGAGCCAACGATACTCAGTCCGCTGCGCCACGAACCCCGACCCACGGGCCTCTCAGGGACCTCTCGGCAGAAATGTTTCCTTTCAAATTCATACATGGCGGAAAATGTTTTGGCTCCGTTCAACGATATAGGACACATTAATGCCAAAAGAAACTATGTTACCCGCAAATCCTATGCAAATAGTTCCTTTTAGCATAAAAGTGCGTTTTTGATAGAAATCAGCCCTCGCCGTCAATGGAGTTCTTGCATGTGTCAGGGATTTGGGATTTGTGATTTTGGTACTTTACACCTGGTAAAATTTTGCGAGAAATGCGATATCTCCTTAATTTTTCTCTGAAATCAGCTTCTAAGCTCAAAAAAAGCTCTTAAAGTTGAGGGTGCAACGGAGGAAAAAATCGATGCTATGTAAAGCAAATATATTATCAGGGTTGCCATTTTGTTTGAGAGTTCCAATACTGAAACCACGGTAACCGTGCTAATGTATTTGTTCCCTACCTGTGCATGTGCATGGAGAGTTTGACTATAGATATAAAGGTGAACTCTCAACGTAGCAAGGGATATCTCCTCCGTTATGACCTCAACTCTGGAAGCTTTTTTTGAGCTTGGGAGTTGATTTTAGAGAAAGCCAGTGACATTCTTGTGTTTCTCGCAAAATTTTACAGATGTGACTATCCAATACGTGCAAGAACCCCGTTATCCGGTGACTGCGCTGGCAGTCTGACGATTGTCCTTAAACTCTTGTTAAGACAACGTTTTTTACCTGGTGACCATCATGACGATTCAACCCTCACTGCAAGAGCCAGAGACAGTTGATTTTAAAGGTATCTACCGTCTGGTTGAGAATCCTTCAATCCCTCTCCTTTCGTCAATTTATTCGTTCTTATTTTGACGAATATGAAGAAATTGATTGATGAATGAGTGAAAGACGTGGGGAGACCACAGCGCGGTAATGTTTGCCATTGCAGATCGCTAATTGATCATTTGAGTGAACAATGTATGTATACATTTCGCCTTATCACATCATCTGCTCGGTTGCCAAGACACCAAGTGCGATACGTGTACGGCCACGCAGGTTACAAGCAGGGATTCGCGGGTTGGTCGGTTGGCAACGGCCCGATCGGGTTCCAGGTAGGCGAGCCTCACAATCAGATATGAAAACAATTAATGATGCAAACTGCATCTGATCGCGGCCGCCTCCCGCCGTAGCGCCGCAGCCGCCGATCCACCCCACCTCGCCCCAATTTCTTTGGCGCATTGCAACAGTTTCTGTTGATCACCGAACGTTTAATAACCGCCGCGCCGTCCAAACAACACTAAAAATTGCAACCGATCATTACGATACACACACACACATGCATACTCCCGCGCTAAGTAAAAACGCCGTACAAACCTTCAGACCTCGCCATATTTCCATCAATAAAAACTGAATTTTCTTGAGAAATCTTGGGCATTTTTCTTCAAAATTTTCAGATAATTTTCTTTGGAATTGTATCTTAAATATTTGAAAATTTCAAGGAAAAATGATCTTAACTTTCTAGTGAAAGTACCTGTTTTAACCGAGGAAATGTGGCAACTCTCGAATGTTCATACGCCGTTTTTCCTTTGGCATAGCAGCATACCCCCGCGCGAAATCACTCATACGTCGTGATCGTGTTCGGACAAAAGCTTGGACAGGTGCGTTTCGGGTCGATGCCGATTCCAGACCCTCTCGTGGGC